TACCTGTTCAATTTTGCAAGTTAAGATTATTTGCATTTGGACCTAAAGCTTTTCCTGCCTGGCAAACTATGTGGGAAAGTCCCAAGAAACTATCAGGATTTTTAACCTGATGGGACATTTTACTGTTAGGTTACATCTAAAAGAGACAAGCAATATTTTGTTTGTTGGTTAAGTTTGAATATCATGTGTGTTTTTTTTAGAAACATGGATTAAAATATTTGCAGGGCTTGCCTCCAAATTTTATCCTCACTGTAGTTTTATACTGCAGGTTAGTGGAGGGACAATGACTGACTGACCTCAAGTCATCAGTAAGATTCATAGATCTGAATCTATATGTATTTATTTAATCAATTAATATGCCCTTCAACTCACAAATTATTGCTCTAAGAGGTTAATATAGGTTTGCAAACCAGTGCAACATCAAGATTTTTTTTAAAAAAACACAAAGACAATGTAACTGTAGCCAGCCTATATTTGTGGATGTTTCTGCTCCCTATAGATGGACTCATCCACCACCCTGCTCCAGTTCTTGGGGCAAAAACCAGTTCTTTAAGACTTTAAAAACGCGAATAGATTCAAGGCCATTTGAATCTTGTGGGGTAAGCTGTTCCAGAGACTGATGCTGCAACAGAGAAGGCATGCCTTCTGGCTCTTCCAGATGATACTTTCCTACAGAGGGTACCTAGAACATCTTACTCATTTGGATCTCTTGGGGTAGGCAAACTCAATTGGAGATTGGCAGTCCTGCAACTAATCCAGCCCTGTACCATAAAGGTCTAAGCAGCAGCATGAATTGTTCCCAGAAGCCTCCTGGAAAACAGCAACAACACATAACCCTTCTTGTGTATTCTCCTCATCAGAGCAAATGATCACAAATTTGAAACATAAGTCTATCAAAAGACAACCCACACCAACCAAGTGCTCTGTTACCAAAGTAACAAGTCAATCTCCCACAAAAGGAGCTGCGTAAGGAGCTGTGTAAGCACAAAGGCACTGCAGCAACCCAGAACACAGGAAAGGAAACAGACTGCCTATACAAAATGGGATACCCACACTTCATGCCTGACCATTCAGTTACTGCAGCACAACCAACACAAGCTATGAAAAGGATAACACTGCCACACATCAGAACAACTTAGAAACAACCAATAGACCATTACAATCATACAGCGTCAAAGTAGCACAGAAACTAAGGTCCTCCAAAACATTGTAAATAAACGAAAAGACCTAATTGTCTAAGAAGAACAAACAGGAATGATCTACAACATATAGTGTAAAGACTGTAACAGACACTGTGCTAGTTATTAGAGCCAGTTTGGTCTAGTGGTTAAGATACCAGGCTTACAACTGGAAACCAGTTGTAGTCTCGCCTTAGCATAAAAGCCAGCTGGGTGATTTAGGGCCAGTCACTTACTCTCAGTCCAGCCTATTTCACAGGGTGGTTTTGGGTAAAATGGGAGGAGTATTAGGTATGCAGGATTCAATCTGAGTCGGTCATTGGGACCAAAGGTTTATTCTTCCAAGCTTTCGGGGTTGTGTTGGAGCCCATCCTCAGGGAACTTCTCTCTCTCCAGAATATTTGCACACATTCTGGAGAGCGACATGTTCCCTGAGGATGGGCTCCAACACAACCCCGAAAGCTTGGATCCTGTAACATTATCCTGGGACATGTATGTTTGCCTTCATTCATGAGCATTAGGTACGTTTACCATCTTGAGTTATTTATAAAAATAAAGCGAACATCAACGCAGGGATTAATACCAAGTAATTAAGCAGGAAGCAGCACCCTAATCAAGGAACTATATAAGTAGACCTTGATTTACAACTGTTCATTTAGCAACAGTTTGAAGTTAATGACAGTGCCAAGAAAAGTGACTTACAACTGGTTCTCAAACTTAATGATCGATGTAGTGACTCTGCCAGTCACATGATCAAAATTCAGGCATTTGGCAACTGTTAACGAATTTACAATGGTTAAAGCGTTTTGGGGATTATATGATTGCCATTTGTGACCTTCCCAGGTGGTTTCCAACAAGCAAAGTCAAGGGGGGAAACCAAATTTGCTTAATGACAGTGGCAAAATTAACAAAATTGGGTGTGACTCACTTAACAATTGGATTTCTTAGCAGTAGAAGTTCTGATCCCAACTGTGGGATGTGTACCAAGGAAAAAAAACCACACCTACTTCAAAACTGGCAGGGCAAGCTACTGTAGCAAACCCCTTACTCCCACTGGTAATGATGCCTAGTTGGGTAATGAAATGTCTGCAAGCTAACAACCAAGCTCAGAGAGCACCAAGATCTCCACAGTTCCTGAGCTACATACTGTACATTCCCTGCTATGGAAGAAATGGATTTGTACATTGGCTCTTCTGCTTATGATTGCCATCTACTTTTTAAATGGGAGATAAAGAGTCGAGTAATTAGATTGATGGAATTAAGGATGTTCTCCCTTTCTTACGATACTCAGTGTTTTTCACTTTTTAATTTTTTTTCAAAGGCATATCGCATCAGATACGCAGCAAGCTATTTCTGTTGGCCAGCCAGATTAAAATGTTCTACATGCCTAACTGATCTGTCTGATTGTCCAGGCTATGTAGAGGAAAAGCTGTTGTCCAGCATACTAGAAAAGCACTTTAGATTCAGAGTAGTAGTAGTATCTTCCTGTGGACTGATGGAGAATCTACCCTAGGGAGCTTTAGCTTGTGGGAAAACGATAATTGTGATTCATTCTTTGTGCTTTAAAAAGCCTGAGTAATGTCTGTTTAAGATTTAATGAAGAGTAGAATACAAGAGTGAACACTTCAAAACCACATTTTGGAGATTTTGCCAGAAGTCTCAACTTGCAACTGTGAATGGGGGGGGGGGGAGAGGGGCTTTGTCCTCAACTGTAATAATTAAGTGCCACTAAAAAAAAATCAGTAAGGAGAAAATATTGTGGCTATTAAACTTCAACCTTAACGGATAAACTAAACATAATGGTTTAATGTACAGTATTTCTATTTAGTGAGCCGCAATTTGGAAATAAAAAAATTCTGCAGCTGCAGGGATTGATCTTTTTCAGATCAAAACAGATATGAAGAAAGTGAAATTTACCTTTTCTTTTCCCACCTACCCCCAAGCACTATTTGCCTTGTAAGGAAATTCATAATCTGTAACAGTGGGGATTTTCTTCCTGATGCTAATATTAAATGCAGTTTTTTTCCAGGATAAGAGCAGAGGCGCAGAAGAATATGTTTCATGTCATATACCTGCTGTGCTCTGGATTATTACCAGTCTCAAGCCAAAGATAGATTTAACTTTATGTCTCATTTAGTCCTAAATGGAAATTTAGGATGGATGTTCAAAGATCAGCTTTTACCTAATAGAATACTGTGTGGAATTGTTGTGATCTAACATGCTCCACACATTAGAGATACATCTGCTAGCTGGTACTATTACATTGTCCATTTTTTGCATCCCTGGAAGCAGGAATGCCAAAAGTTACGTCTGTGGGAAAAGTGATTAAAGAAAATTTGAAGGTGCACGTACATGATAATTGATCTAGCTGGAGTTGATTGGCATTATGGTATGCAAGTCAGAACTGTCACCTGGGTGGGCTAAAAGAGCAGGGCAGTATGGACCATATATGTGTGAACTGCTGCGCTTCTCTATGTGAGGTAGTTGTTCTCTCACTCTTCTTGTCTTTATTTGGCAGTTGAGTTAATTTGCTCCTGCCTCAGCTTGGGTCCTTGGAAATACCACTTCCCAAATATTCTTTTAAGCTTTGAAAGATTACTTGTTGACTGAGAAACTAGAAAACTTACTACGCTGAACTGCAGTGAGAGAATAAAGAAACCGGGTTTGCCTCTCAAAGCCGGAATGGGTAAAATGCACATTTTCTGTTTCCCTCTCTATGCTTTCCTGAGGCCGTCTTGGGTCAGTGTGTATTCGAAGGTGTTCTGAGCTACAGGTGAAAGAAGCTGTGTCCCAACCATTGGCATTGAATAATGTTCTCTTCTTTGGAGAAGTAGCCTTGGAATGGCTCTTTCAGTGGCTGCCTATAGGAGAACATTTGTAATTGTTTCATGTTTTTGTTCCCTGAGTTAAAGCTGGGCTGAGGGCCCCCTCTGGCCTTTCCAAGCATACAAAGCAATGGCAGCATTTCTTACAGTCCACTATACTGTCAAAGTATTAAAGGCTTCTTGTGGTGTGTTGGCAAGTGATTGACACTAAGCTGAAGCAGGTGCAGAGAGTGTGGCGGCTACCTCAAAGCTACGTGGGAGTGAGCAGCAAGACTGGGAAAACAAACCATGGGTCCTCTGTAAGACTGTTGCATGTATGGTTCTCTGGAGGGCAGCTGGCTTTTTTTTAATTGATGCACCGAGATTGAATTGAGGCTGGGGAGGGGGGGTTACCGCAACTTTACATTTATAGTTTCTCTATAAACTAGTTGAACTTGGTTGAAGTTAGTCTGTTATTCTCTTTCTGCCTTCTGCAGATTAAGGGTTCAGAAAGATCCAGTTTGTGTATGTGTATATATATATATATTGTGCGCGAGCATGCATTTTATCTTCCTTAGCTATTTCTCTGACTCCTTCCTTGTGCTATTTATGTGGGCTTAAATAGCCTGAGAAACTTTTTTTTTTTTTTAAAGATGAAAGAATGCAAAGAGTTGAATGCTCTGGAAAGAAAAAAGGGCATCTCTAATCATCCACCCACTGTCATATTCTGCTCTCCCAAAGAATTGGCTTAACCAGTCCAGCTTTTACTATGCAATAGTGGCAAAAGGTTTGCTGCATGGTGCATGATAAGGAATAATAATAAAAAGGAAAGAGCACTTATCTATGGGCATAGTGAATTTTCTCCCACTCCAACTGCAAGAGAAGCCAAATAGATGTGAGGGGCCCATACATTCTGTGTTTGAAAACAAAATGTCTTAAGAAGCAGAGCTTCTGAACTGGGAGACAAGGCTCTTCTTCCCCACTGCTAACAATTTTCCCCCTTTGCTTCTGTTTGCAGACCCAAGGAATCACCATGTGGTCTCACTTCCTGGGAACAGTTCCTGAAGGCCAAGGCTGTCAGATTTCCATCCTAACAAAACACTGACAATGAGAAACGGCTGGTGTTTTTATCTGAGAAAGGAACTTTGAATGGATTTGCCATGGTGACATGAAAAAGGACCAGGATGGATAATAGACTGTCACAGGGGCAATTCCATACCCGTATGGCCTCTTTGTGAAACTTATCTCCAGTCTTTCCTGAGCTGAGACCTGGAGGGAGGGAGGGGGGAAGGGTGGGTGGGGTGGGGAAGGAACCTGAAAACTCTTTTCCAAAGCAAGGATGACTTTAGTAAGGATCCGGAGGAGCTTCTGGCAGGTATCGCCTCAAGTGGTGCTCTTCTTACTCTTTGCCTTCTGCCTGCTCAGTGTTTTTGTCTCAGCATATTATTTATATGGGTGGAAGAGGGGACTGGAACCCTCTGGGGATATTCCCAGCCCAGACTGTGATGAACCGAAGATTGCTCCTTCACGCCTGCTACCGATAAAACCCATCAAAGTGGTAGATTCTTCACGGACTGATCCCTTGGTCCTTGTGTTTGTGGAAAGCCTTTACTCTCAACTGGGACAGGAGATTGTGGCCATCTTGGAATCTAGTCGGTTCAAATATCTGACAGAAATCGCTCCGGGGAAGGGAGACATGCCTACGTTGACTGACAAGGACCGAGGGCGCTTCGCGCTTATCATCTATGAGAACATCCTGAAGTACGTGAACCTGGATGCCTGGAATCGTGAACTCTTGGACAAGTACTGTGTAGAGTACGGTGTAGGAATCATTGGCTTCTTCAAGGTATTTCAAATTGAGAAAGTGTTTACTAAAACAATGAGAAGAGGAGAAGTGATATACCAGTGATGGCGAACCTTTTAGAGCAGTGTTTCTCAACCTTGACAATTTTAAGGCATGTGGACTTCAACTCCCAGAATTCCACAGCCAGGTGGGCGTGGCCCATTGGGTGGGCATGGCCCATTGGGTGGGTATGGCCCATTGGGTGGGCATGGCTTCGGTGGTAACGGCAGACTGGATGGGACTAAAAAGTTTAATCAATCAATTCCAACTTTGTGAGATCTTTTTTTTCCCCACGAGAAGTTGAAATTGATTGAACCTTTTTTTTTTTTTGCACACGGCGGTGGAGGCCTAAAGCGAACAGGTTTTATAAAACCCAGCTGAAGGCCTAGGACTGGGGCGACGGCGCACGTGCCCACAGAGAGGGCTCTGCGTGCCACCTGTGGCACTCATGCCATAGGTTTGCCACCATGGTGATATACTGATTTCTGGAGATAAGATTTGAGATAAGATTTGAGCAGTGAAAAGCAGAATACTATATGTTAGTCTATTCCTATTGCACAGTGAAGTTATCAAAGGGGAACTATGAAATTTTTGGTTGCAGTTCTCTTTTCCAATTTCTTGTGAGAGATGATTCTTTGTTAATATTCCCCAAGGTCTATTTGTGCTTCTCTGCAAAAAAGATGCTGAACTGAGGAGCTAAGTATCCTTTATTTTTGACATGCAATGTTGCTTGTTTGTCTTTACATCTCAGAGGCAGAGAAATACTTCATCCCTGAGATTTTAAGAAGGCCAGAGGCATGCAACACCATATTGTATATCCTAATCAGATACTTAACTGTATCTACAAAGTGTCTTGAAATTACACATTTTATCCATAAAATTAAATGGTAATACAAAGCTAGTGTGAGAAAGCCTTCTTCTAGCAGATGTCTCCATAGTTGCTGACCTGAACCATTCATCTTCGCATGGTTATGATTGCTGGGAAGAGTGGGAATCTGAGAGTCTAAGACAGGGGTAGTCAACCTTGGCTCTTTTATGACTCGTGGACTTCAACTCCCAGAATTCCGGAGCCAGCTGGCTCAGGAATTCTGGGAATTGAAGTCCACGAGTCATAAAAGAGCCAAGGTTGACTACCCCTGGTCTAAGAGGACACCCATTGCTCACTTGCTTGACTAGGGAAGTCACCCCAGGCAGAGTTAAAGATGGAGAATTTCCAGAATCGTGGATCCTAAAAACCCATACCCGTTCAGTTTTGCCAACGTTGGAATGAAGTCTGTCCTCTAACCAGACCCTCACAATCTCCAGGTACTGGGAAAGGAGCATTACTTGATTAGCCTAGGCAGAGATCTCCAGCTGAGTACCATCAGCATACAGATGATCTCCCCCAGCTGCTTCATGTGAATGTTAAATGCAGCCCTGAGATACCCCAAAGCAGAGGCCTGTAGCTCAACATTTCCCAAAACCAACTAGAATCGGCCCTGGAGAAAAGAAGCAACCATCATAACTCTGTGAGCTCCATTCCTAAGAGGATATCATGATCAGTGTTACGAAAGACCACTGAAAAGTTAAGGAGGTACAAGATAAATGTAGTACCCCTATCCTGGGCCCACCAAAGGTTATTGCCAAGCATATCCAATGCCATTTCAGTACTGTGGCTTGGACTGAATCCTGACCAGATAATCTGTTTTTTTCTAAAGCCCACTGGAGTTGTAAGCCAACTATCTTCTCAGTAACCTTCCTCCAAAATTCCAACTAGTTTTGTGGTCTAAGATGGAACTAGAACTCACAGTTTCCCAGGTTTTAGTCTAGTTCTTAATCAGTACTACACTTGATCTTAACTAAACTAAGATCATAATAAAGGTTTTGATCAGTATGCCAAGCTGGTTGGAAGGTGTTTAAGTCACAGGATTTACCATGATTGTGTAATATAGGCAAAATCAATCTCTCTCTCTCTCTCTCTCTCTCTCTCTCTCTCTCTCTCTCTCTCTCTCTCTCTCTCTCTCTCTCTCTCTCTCCCTCCCTCCCTCCCTCCCTCCCTCCCTCCCTCAAAACATGTTTTAGTTCTGTAAGATTTCCATTGAGAGCCATCCATATCTGTCCCCTGAAAAACTATTTTGGGGAGTGTGAATTAAGAGTAAGAAAGGACATTAATGGACAAGGAGCATACTTGACCCTAATCTTAGAACAAGTTTCTTAGGTCCCTTATTTGATTAGGTATTGATATATATATATATATATTTTCTCTTGCAACATTTTGGATCAAGGGCAGTGCCATTATTTATTTTGCATTAGCTTAATGGCAGAGACATGCAGCCAGATGCTCTGAGCAGCTCTGGACTCTGTGAGGAATTAAATGAACCATCATAAATTTAAATCCTGACATTTTATAATTCTCAGAGTGCATGAGCACTGGATTCTTGCTCTCTGCAGCAAATCTTGAAACAAGTAACCTATTCATTTCTTATTAGGTTGCTTGTGTCTGCTCAGAGAAAAATGCCATCTGGAGTTTGAATGCTAGAGAGCAGTTCCCCACCCCCAGTTTCGTTGTTTTGTCATATTCAGTGTCACATGGAAGCGTCTTCAGGATTTCTGTTCTCTGTGCTCTCCTTCCCTTCAATCTGCTGATATTTAAATTAGAGATAAGTAATGACTATGGATTCCATTCTTCCCCTTTTATAACGGGCAGCTCAGAGAAGGGTTTTTTTTTTTTAATATGGTGACGTAAAATAATTAGTTTATACAGTTAATTAACCCAACCCACTGCATAGTTGTGAGAAAGGAGGCAGAAGTATTCTGTATGCTTGCCACCTTGAGTTATATATATATAATCTGGATTCTTCATCTAAAAAAGATTCATGTTAAAATTGGTAATAAAGTGCTCCATATTCCCTTGCAAACTGGATCCTCCGGTTGCTGAAATGCATATACCAATGACAATCTTACGATTTGACTGAAGATGGTAAATGTGTTGACTGTTTTAGGAATGTAATTTATAGCTTAATCAAGACCAAAGTCTCGGTGCTTCTAAAAGAAGGGTCTGGGTGGGATCATCAGTTCTGGCAATATGGTGGGGGCGATAGTAGCAAAGTCCACATGCTGGATAGAGATGATCATTGGTTTGAAAGAGGGGTAAAAGAGGCCATTTATGTTAACATTGAGCTGCCTTCTCTCAACAGAGGGGGAGGGATAAGACACCATCTCTCTCCCACCTACAACATAGTCTTTGCAGCAGTTCCAAGAAGATTCCACCCTCATTTGCACTCTGGTACCCTGAAGGCACAGATAAACCCCCAAGTGACCTCAAGAACTCTCAGGGAGCATGCTGACAACCAGATGACTACAAAGAAATATGATCCTTCCACCCCCATCCTATCAGAACTAATTCTTCCATTGCCCCCACATCCTGCTAGAACCAATGAAGCTTCTTGGATGAGAAGCGAAGCATATTCTTCTTCCACAGGGAGGGGGGAACCAGTCCAGTTGGCCTTTTGAAAAAGCACCTTTGAGACAACTATGACCTGGATGACTGAGAATAGCCAGAGACATAAAGTTACAATAGTAAGGTCACCCTCCATGCCTGTAATAACGTCCCCTACCAGTTTATATTGAAAATAAGAATTTAGCCATGGCTTCTGGATGCTGCATGAAAGCTTTTTAATGGGGAAGCTATTGAATTACACATGTCTGCTCAAAGTGTTTAGTGTCCTTTGGCCTTTTAGTTTGAGATCGGACATGCTAAGCAACTGGGACACTATGGAGGTGCATTGTGCTTTCTCCATTGAGCAGAGAAAGATGTTATCTCCTTGATGGTAGACTGAAATTCTCTTTGCTTGTCATTGTTTTTACTGTTGCCTGACAACTTCCTGTCTGAAGTTGTCATTCAGTTCATATGATCTCTCTGCAGGCGAACGAGAACAGCTTACTGAGTGCTCAGCTGAAAGGTTTCCCCCTTTTTCTCCACTCCAACCTTGCACTGAAGGACTGCAGCATCAATCCCAAATCACCGCTGCTGTACATCACGCGGCCCAGCGAGGTAGAGAAGGGACTTCTTCCAGGGGAGGACTGGACAGTCTTCCAATCAAACCATTCCACATATGAGCCAGTCCTCCTTGCTAAAACCAAGTCAGCTGAATCCATCCCACACATGAGCATTGATGCCGCACTCCATACCACCGTTGTACAAGACTTGGGACTCCATGATGGCATCCAGAGAGTCCTTTTTGGCAACAACCTCAACTTTTGGCTACACAAACTGGTCTTTGTGGACGCTGTTTCATTCCTGACTGGCAAGAGGCTTTCACTTCCCCTTGACCGTTACATCTTGGTAGACATTGATGATATCTTTGTTGGGAAGGAAGGCACACGAATGAAGGTGGATGATGTCAAGGTAATTGTTCTTAAACCAGCATATTCCTCTTTGTTTTAGGGTTGGTGGTTGATATAGGGCCCGTTGACCCTTGAGTTCATTTCACTGAATGAAAAGTTTAAATGGGTTCTATTAATGCTCAGATCAGTGACCTAGATCCCAGCATTCTTGTTGCTTGTTCTATCTGCTAGCATATAGTTTGGATTACAGGTGCCTAAACTGATCTAGCTAAGATGGGTGCACATGCACTAACACAAAACACTTTGCATAAAACAGGAATCTTCTGCATGTGAGATACTAGACAATTTTTGACATCAGAATGCAATTTTCTCTTGAGAGGAATTTGTTTTGAAGAGATTAAGAAAAATAGTATTTTATAAGCAACTGACCAGTAAAGCTCTGATCTTGGTCCGATGGTAATCACCAAAGGGAGGAGGGAAGGGGGAGATTGGGGAACCTTTGAGCCATATAGCAGACATTGCTAGTTAGCGCAAGATGTTTTTGAAAAGTTTTATTTCATGTCATTTGCCACTTTTAGAAGAGCAGCAAGGAAAAACATAAATCATACAATCTGCCCAGAGTTACCCCGTGGTAAGATGGGCAGATAATAAATTTGATAAATAAATACAGTAAATTGCCTTTTAAATTACTGGCCATTATTTTTCATATTTTAACAAAAGATTTTAACATATCTCAGTAGAGATGTCTACTGAACTCTCTAGATCAGGGGTCCCCACTACCGGGCTGCAGCCTGTTTCAAACTGGGTTGCGTGAGCAGCAGGCAAGCGGGCGTGCACGAAGCTCCGCTCATGTGAGGAGCAAGCGCTTAACTGGAAGGTGCATGTGCTCAGGTGTGAAGCTCTGCTTGTGTGAGCAGATGGCGCTTGCATGTGAAGCTACATTCGCAAGACTGGAGTTTTGTGTGCGAGCACTTTCCTCTCGCACAAGTGGAGCTTCATGCGCAAGCACAAGCACCTGCTCACACGCAAAGCTCCATTTACACAAGTGGAGCATGCACATGCCCACTGCTTGTGCCAATGAAGCTGTGTGCGCATGCGTCCGCCTGCCACTCACACGCCCCTCCCTTGCCGGGCTGAGCTGCCAAGGTGGAAAGGCTGGGGACTGCTGCTCTAGATAGTCATTAAGTTTAATAAATGTATATCCGTCAAAAATTGAAAGTGTTCCCTAACTAAAATCTCAGTTTGGCAAGATCTAAATGTGCTGAATGAATATTTAACAATTTTTCCTTATACATCTCTACTTCTAAATAGAATTTATCTAATGGATATCCAACATGGATATGGTTCATAAAAGATATCTCAAGTGAATTTAAATACCTGTTCATATCAGAAAGGCGATATGTGAGTCTGAAGATTGCTATATTAATAGTGATCTCTGAACTTGGATATTGCAGAATACATCTGTAGTTTACAGTATAGCTGTCCTGTAAAACAGGGGTCCCCAATCCCGAGTCCGTGGACTGGTACCGGGCCACGACATGCCAGCAACCGAGCCGTACAAAAAAGCAAAGCCCCATCCGCGAGATGCAGGCAGCACACAAAACCACACACCCTCCAGTCTGCGGAAAAACCTCTCTCCGCGTAACCGGTCCCTGGTGCCCAAAAGGTTGGGGACCTCTGCTGTAAAAGTAAACTTCTAGTATGCATGTGAATTAATGAAATGCATATATTAACACATGTTAAGGAAAAGAAATATCTGAACTAGCATACATTCTTGTTTCACGTTATATGGTAGCGTGGAACTTGATGTTGCCTAGCTTTTATTTTTTAACTTCTAGGACAGTATAAAATATTTTTTCAATACTTAAGAAGCTCCTTCCTCTCACAGCGGGAACTGTAGACTGGCCTGCTACAATACCCCGCATGACATTCAGTCAGATATTGCAACTCTAGTGTTAATGTTAGCAACAACAGTTCAAGAAGAAAACAAGGATGCTGTTTGCACATTTCGTTCTGGAATATGTTGTCAAATTTTTTTGAAAGTCAATAGACGATGGTCAGCTTTTCAGAAAACAGGAATATCTCATTTAGAATTACTCATTTAGGGAACCAAGTGATAATTAAATAACATTATAGTAATAGAATGCTGAAGATGTAGAAATACCACTGCAACCATGACTCAAAGTTATTTCCAATTTGAAGGAAGATTATGCGAATGTGATCAATATCTATGATAGAATGTCCAGAAACTTCCAATCTTGTGAGTAATTGAGCAAGGGTTTCTGTTATCTGCAGTAATCCATACTCATGCAGTAATCCATGCTATATATGGGCTTTTGGCAAAAAGAATGGGAAATTTAAAAAATAACAGAATTAACAGAATAATAGAGTTGGACGTTGTTCTACTTCAACCCTCGAGCTGGAGACCTACCATTTCAGATAGATGGTTATCCAATCTCTTCTTAAAAACCTCCAGTGATGGAACACCTACAACTACCGGATGCAGTACTCCAAGTGTGGTCTTACCAAGGCCTTATAAAGTGGTACTAACATTTTGTCAACCTCCGGCTGAAAAACCCAACCCAGCAAAACACCAGAGCTATTGCGTTCTCTAATGCAGGGGTCTCCAACCTTGGCAACTTTAAGACTTGTGGACTTCAACTCCCAGAATTCCTCAGCCTTGCTGGCTAAGGAATTCTGGGAGTTAAAGTCCACAAATCTTAAAGTTGCCAAGGTTGAGGATCCCTTCTCTAATGTATACTTTATTGAGCAATAACAAACTGGTAGGATTAAAGTGAAGCTAGCTCTGAAGAAATGGCGGGAAGCAGTTAATTAAAAGAACAAAACTCTCCCTCCCCTCTCTGACAGTTCAGGTCACATTGTCCAAAACATCTTCCAGCGATTATTATGAGAAGAAACTTCAGTTCGCCAAAATAACTCTTCAATCACTTTGGTTCTCATGTTGATAAGGACACCTGTGGATTCAAACCTCTCCCCTTCCCCTTCCCCTTCCTGTCCTGTTGGCAAACTAGAAGCACGCAGTGGTCCTAAAGCCAGTAGATTTTGTAGCTTGACACACTTCACATGATGTTGATTCTATCGTCCCTGTTAATGCAACCTAGCACTGCTGTTGCAGGTTATGTAAATCCAGTCTTTTTTTTTTTTGTAAGCTACTCTTTTAAATTCTCTTTTCTCCAATCCTGTAGGCTTTGTTTGATACTCAGAATGAATTACGTACCCACATCCCAAATTTCACCTTCAATCTTGGCTACTCAGGGAAATTTTTCCACACAGGTAAGAATACAATTGACAGAGTTTTCTTACTAGGCTCTCCAAACTTTTGTTCTCTGTGACTGGTGAAAATTTACCTAATATAACTTGAATATTTAAGTATCTTAAAGCATTATGGTAACTGTGTTGTTGTTAGTTGCGAAGTCGTGTCCGACCCATCGTGACCCCATGGACAACGTTCCTCCAGGTCTTCCTGTCTTCTACCATCTTCTGGAGTCCATTTAAGCTCACGCCTACTGCTTCAGTGACTCCATTCAGCAACCTCATTTTCTGTCGTCCCATTCTTCTATTGCCCGCAATCTTTCCCAGCATTAGGCTCTTCTCCAGTGAGTCCTTCCTTCTCATCAGGTGGCCAAAGTACTTGAGTTTCAAAGTACTTGGAGTCTTCTCCAGCACCATAGTTCAAAGGCCTCAATTCTTTGTTGCTCAACTTTTCTTATGGTCCAAATTTCACAGCCATACATTGCAATTGGGAAAACCATGGCCTTGACTATACGTACTTTTGTTGGCAGGGTGATGTCTGTGCTTCTGAGTATGCTGTCTAGATTTACCATAGCTTTCTTCCCGAGGAGCAAGCGTCTTTTAATTTCTTGGCTGCAGTCCCCACCTTGGAGCCCAGGAAGATAAAATCTGTAGGTAAATTAGGAACCTCCAAATGTAATCTACAGCTGCAGGCATCCTTTACTATCTTTTATGATGTCTAAGGTTGTTGAGATGTATACTTTATAAACCATCTGAAAGGCCATAGGATCTCACCTCTGCATTGAATTCTGGACATGGATATGATAGTGTTATATGTCTGCTTTCTCTACTTGGGGAGATTTAAGATTTTGGGGTTGACTTAATCCATGTAGTCTACTCCATTTAATGCTGCTCAGTGTAGAAGTTTTCAGATCGAGTGGTATGATTTTGTGAAGCTCATGGCTTAAACATTACATAGCGATGATGGTGCTTTGGTCCTGGCAGGTACAGATGCGGAGGACGAGGGAGATGACCTTCTGCTCTCTTATGTGAAGGAGTTTTGGTGGTTCCCCCACATGTGGAGTCACATGCAGCCTCACCTTTTTCACAATCAATCAGTGTTGGCAGACCAAATGGCCATGAACAAGAAATTTGCCCTGGTAAGTAAGATGGTGTCCAGGACTACTGCTGGAGTGAGGGTGGTGGTGATAGGGTTTTATGAAAAACAGAGGATGGTTTCACCATGTAGAATTATTAGTTGCTTATTTCTTATCTAGAACAAGTGGCCGTAACAAGTTTATCATTGCAAAATGAAACAAGAATTACCAGAACAGTGTTGACAGTACATAAACCACTAAAATGAGAAAGTCTTTAAATATTATTGATTTGTAACCAGTTGAATAATTATTTTAGGTAATACAATCTGAAGCACTGCATCAATGAAGAGTGGAAGGTTTGACTAACAGAGGTTCCCAACATTGTTTCAATTAATGTTGTTCCTAGTAGTTCCCAAATTGTGTGCTGCTATTTTTGTCCTTGTATGTGTTTTCTGTAGCTACTGATCTGCAGCTGCATTTTTTTTTACTTTTCACATATGCTAAAAACAAATAATGGTTCCTAGTAAATAGCATACTATTGCCCTCAAGTCTCTGTTTTAAATTTAAATTGGGATTTTTGTTACTGAGTAACTATTCTCTCCAAAATTTAATCTCTCCAGAACCACACTGATGGTTGTGTTGCATGTGAGCTCTCAACGTTGCTCTAAAATGCAGTGGTTGCCTGGAATGTTCTTTCTCCTAGTAAGGACATACAGAGACAAATAGTATCTCAAAGTGACTCAGTTCCACGTTAGCATTTTTTTCTAGTTTAGTAGTGATTTGTTCCTAGTGCTCCCCAAATGTTTCCTAGTGTACTGTTGTCTTTTTTCCTGTTCTAATTTTAACATTAAGCATATTCATGCTACTCCATCACATCCAGATGCAGATGTGTTGGAATGTGCACCTGTAGCAGCAGAGGGGAAGGATTTGGCCAACTTAGAGCTTTCCCAGAGAGAGAGGCCCAGATGAAGAGACTGCATAATCCAAAGATGGAGAGGAGAGTGAGGAAGAGATTCAGGGTAACCGCTCCCTAGAATCTCTCAGGATGTATCTAGTAGTTTAAAAAGTTATAGCTTTAATTTGGCAAGAATCTGTCCACTGCAGGTGTGCAAATAAAAGATTGAACTTGATAGGATCTCACTGTCTTGTCTCTGGGCTTGGGCCTGACATTAGGAGGTGTATGTTAAAATATTACTATACTACTTTCAGTTGAAAAATATCCTAGACCAAGGGTAGGCAACCTTGGCTCTTTTATGACTCGTGGACTTCAACTCCCAAAATTCCTGAGCCAGTCATGCTGGCTCAGGAATTCTGGGAGTTGAAGTCCACGAGTCATAAAAGAGCCAAGGTTGCCTACCCCTGTCCTAGACCCAGTTTATTCAATCAGTTTTTAATTCCAGCGCTTTTGCTAGATAATTCCCCACATCTTTCAGCACAGTACTTACCTGACCTTGTGAAATTACTTTCTTTTTAAAATGAGCCTGTAAAATACTTCTTAGGGGTATGAAGTTTTGGAAGTGTTATTCACACTATTACATTAATTAACAAAAGCTCAATTAAAAGGGAGAGGAAAACAAAGCATAATATTGTAATTTTGCAGAAAGCACTTTTTAAGCTACAAATTTTCCTCAGGTTACGATGGCGATTGGGATTGCTGTTGCTAAGTGATGCAGTTATAAAGCATAATGCCAAGGAACCACGTCACTTGGAGAGAGACAACAATCCCTATTGCTGTTCTTATCCCAAGAGATGCTGGTTGTTAAATGGGAAGTGGTGGCACTCCCAGATAAGGAGCATAGGTTGCTGCGGGACGGGGGGGGGGAAGGATTAGTGGGAGGGTACATGAGAGTTGGAGGTGAGGTGAGGCCCAGTGCAAGACCACACATTAGTACAAGAAAGCCTGGGGGTGGATGGCATAGTGTGAGTGGAGGAGTGCAAGCGCAGGAAGACTGTGGAGATGGCTGCCTGGGAGGAGCACAGGACGACTGGGGGGATTTACCAGAGCGACTTGCAACTTTACCACCGGCTTCTCTATTCATGGGGAGTCAGCGAGGAAGGTCGCAGATGGCAATCACATGACCCTGGGATGTTGCAACGATCATGCGCGAGCTGGTTGCCAAGTGCCCAGATTGTGATCTTGTGACACGTGGGCACTGTGGCACCATAACTTTGAGGACTGGTTGTAACTACAACTTGTTCAGCATTGTCACAGGTTTGAACAGTTGCTGAACAAGTGGTCAGTAAGTGAGGAATACACATAGTGTAATCCAATACTTTGAATTATTGCCTGGCGATTGTTCATATTCTACAGCATTGGGTTTTTTTTTAAACTGCTGCTTATTCAAATGTGTTTTTAACAGTATTTCTTCATTTCCATAAAAGAATTCTTCAGATATGAAGTAGAATATTTTTCAGTTCAGCAAGGTAGAAATTTAGTATTCGTTCACTTAACTATCTCCTGAAAAACTGTCAAGTATGATGATTAAAAATCATCAGGCCAGTTCTGTACAAAACCTGCTTTAAATTGGGCATAAACGCCTGCAGAAAAACAGGAAACAATAAGACTTATGTAATGCTAGTTACTTAGTCCAGTTCCTGGTCTTACTCATTCAGCAAGAGCAAAAGATAAACTTTGAAGTATATCTTAAATTAGAATTCTGTTGGATTGTGCAGACTAAGTTAAATAAAATGAATGTCTGTTACTTGCAGTGTAATTGTTTCATTAAAATTCCTCTGTTAGTACTAGAGGATAACAGCTATGTATGCCTTTACTTCTTGTAGGAACATGGTATCCCCACAGATATGGGGTATGCAGTGGCCCCCCATCATTCAGGGGTGTACCCAGTGCATGTGCAACTTTATGAGGCCTGGAAACAGGTGTGGGGTATCAGAGTAACAAGCACCGAAGAATATCCTCATCTCAAACCAGCCCGCTACCGAAGAGGATTTATTCACAGTGGAATCATGGTCAGTAGAAAACATAACTATCTTTTAACTTCATTAATTCTTTCTGGTAGAGCAATGAATGCAAACAGCTTGTTTTCCCCCCAAAATTGTTTATAGAATGCTAAAAAAAGGCATAAACCCTTTATATCACAAATTGGTCAAAGTATAAAGAAGGGGAAAGTTAGAAAAGAGTTTTTTTTAAACTTATTTTTTCTTTGTTCTTTTTTTAATAAGCATAAACAATATTAAGTAATAATACAGTGGAATCCTTGTGATAAGCTTAAGATAGAAATCTGTCAAGCACCAGGGAAATCCAGAGATTCAGGCAGTTCAAATGACTATAAAGATTTATTTATAGCTTAAGCTGTCTACAAGAATCTGACCAACTAGCAGTCAATGAAAATGAGCAGGAGATAAGAAAGGCATCCACGATAGGCTGGACGGAGATCTTTTGTGGGCGCACAAAGATTTGTGACTTATGACGAGTTTGACCCCTCCAGGCTCAGCCTGGTCACCTCCTACAAAATCTTTATTATATACCATAACAATCAATTTAATGAATTTTGCAGTTATTTATCAATGCTACAGTCAGCTGTAGATGTAAAAATTAAGCAATTTTATGCTTATTAATATTAACTTTTTAAAAAACTTAATTAATATTGACATACATTTTTTCTCTATCTTTAAAGATTTAAATTACCTAAATCATCAGCACTAATCTCTAATCCAGTGGTGGCGAACCTATGGCACGGGTGCCAGAGGCGGCACTCAGTGCCCTCTCTGTAGGCACACATGCCGTTGCCCCAGCCTTGCCTCCGCCTGTGACCCCCTCCTCACCAGCAGCCTCCTGGAGGAGAGTCGCCCCTGAGCATGGCCCATGCAGAGCAGCGCAGCCAAAGACATGGCAGCCAAGCAGCATAGACAAGACTGCCCTCATGCCCCAACGCGCACAGTTGATGCTGCGGGCGTGGGCAGAGGGCATGGCCGCCATCGCGTTGCTGGGCTGCCTGGGTGATCTGCGGTGGGCCCTGGAGGCAGTGAATGGTCTTGCGGGCAGGCAGGGTGGGGCAAAGCGGGGGCAGGACAGGGCAGGAATGGAGCAGGGGCGGGGCCAGTTTTGGGGCACTCGGTCTCTAAAAGGTTCGCCATCACTGCTGTAGTCAATACTGTATAAATATCAAAATAATGTACCATTTGTGTTTCGTAATCGTATAATAAAAATATATTAGTAAAAAAATAAAAAATAATGAACCCAAACCGTATCAAATAATAAATCTGCTTAAATTTGGATTTCAATATTATGTATTCCTGATTTCATAAAAAGAATTTGCCTGAGGCCCACAGTTAAAGTTCACAATCATTAGTTATTAGTTTATAATTTAAATATATATATTCATCAACCTACACAGATAGTATTTCTGAATACAGTTTAAAGTAGTTCTCATGATTTTTTTTTCTTTTAACCCAGCTGTCAGTCAATTACCAAATAAAAAAAGAGATTTGATCACTCTTTATTGAATTCTTGGACAGAATTTTCCAACAGGCCTTTGCTGTGAGACCCTGTACAAGGATGCAACAGTAGACTCCCATAGGAAAGGCAGTTCTCAAAACGTTTGTGTCCCGGGTCATGTAGGACCTTAAAGAATAAAAATTATTTTCTGGAATTATGCCTAAAAGCAAATTGGCAGCCACATGTAACTGGCACAAAATTAGCTGAATATGCACCTGTTTCTAACCCTTGATGCAAGATGGACAGCTGTGTGCTACCAAGTTGCTACTTCTGAGTGCTTCAACAAAGGCACTCTTACGCAGAGGGAATTGCAGTGTGGAAATCAAACGCTATGGCAGTCGGGACTGATGTAGAACATTCTGTCCTTTACAACTGGTGTGGGCAGTGGCAGTGGGGGAGCTGCAGTTGGAAAACAACATTTCTATCAACAGTTTTTAACTGCTTTTCAGAAAAATAAGTACCAGGGCCAGGTTGTGGTCAAGGTTTTTACCTAATCAGAAGGAATTACAGAGGTTCTCTGGTTTAAGGGAGATGTATTTCTTCTAAAAAGTTGGCATTCATCACAAGAATGATTTACCATATTGTCTGGATTCATTTTCATTTTTTTTAAACACATCCCCTTGTTTGTAGCTTCCAAACACATTTTAAGGCAGAGAGATGCTCTTCATTTCTTATGTACGTAGGTACTTATTTGCCCATCATGCGATTCCCAAAGCACAATAGAAAGGTAAAAAAAAAAATAGCAAGCAAAAGAAATGAAAGGAAGGAGATGAGGCAAAAAATAACAAATAAGTCTATTTTACAACAATACCATTCACTGTACCCCTGAAAACCTTTCTATTACAGGTAGTCCTTGACTTAACCACAATTGAACCCCAAATTTCTTTTGCTAAGTGAGACATCTCTTAAGTGAGTTTTGCCCCATTTTACGACCTTTCTTGCCACAGTTGTTAAGTGAATCACTGCAATTGTTAAATTACAATTTTTTTAAGGTCTATCTGGCTTCTCCTTTGACTTTGCTTGTTAGGAGGTTGCAAAAAGTGACCGCATGATCCCAGGACACTACAACTGTATGTGTAATATGAATCCGTTAGCGAACACCTGACTTTTGATCGCAAGAATAAGGGGATGCTGTAAAGGTTGTAAGTGTGAAAAATGGCCCTAAGTCACTTTTTTGGTGCCTTCGTAACTTCAAACAATCGCTAAACGAACTGTTGTAAGTCAAGGAATATCTGTACTGAGAATATGAACCAGATGAATATCTTCAGTAAGTTAAGAGCACCAACTTGAAGGTTAGGAATTTTTTTTTTAATAGATTGAGGCTTCATACAGGTTTAAAACGCTTGTTTGTCCAGAATTACCTCTAGAAAATGGTCTTCATTATGAACAAAGTCATATTTATAGTATGATATTGGCTGATGATTCTGTTTCAGTTAGATCTGAGTTTTGAATAATGCTAATAAATACCTTATGAAAAGCAAAGAAGATAATATGGCATTAAGGAATAGTAGGTAATAAGTACAGGAAGTGGCATGCACTGTAACAAGTCTGTCGATAAAGAAATGAGGGGTGGATGGATATTCAGGATAATCCAGATTCCAAGAAGTTTGTAACTAAGTTTTAATTAGAAAATGACATAGTTAAGAGGCGGGCAAGCTTACCTTGTAAGAAGGGAAAAGTATATTTGGAGCCTTTCATATTACTTATTCAAGAAAATTCTATTGCAAAACTATTAATACAACCTTGAATTCTGAGTTTTGCATGTTTTTGAATAGTGTATATCTGTTTTAAGAAAATTAACTGATTACATGTGTTAGAAATTTTATATAATGTCAAGAACATGCTTTGGACATTTTTAATATGGTTTATCCTAAAGAAAGACTTCTATTTAGTTACATGGTCAGTTTCAACTAGAATTTTATAACTGCAACTTGAATATCATCTGAACTTTTATGTTAGAGAAAGAGAGACCCCATAATACTTTACAATAATTTTTTTTAAAAAAAAAAATAGCTGGCGCAGATAATCCTAGGACTTAAGGAATCCTTTACGATTTCCAGGTGCCTGGCCTTTTAAATAATTCCTGGTAAACCTATTAAACAAAAAAGAGCTAATAATCATTTAGTGAACTTTCCCCAGGGCCTGCCTTGGTTGTTATGATGGACTGCACATTGTTCAGGAAAGTTTCTGGTGGCCATCAGCGATTGTTTCTTTTTCCTGAGATAGTCTAATCAGCTTGAAAGGAGCAGCTGTTGGGTACTTGGCCTTTGTTCTCTGATTCGTGAAAAAGCATAAAATGAACATAGGAAGAGATTTTTCTCCCTTGGGGAAGAAGAAACTGGAACAAAGTTTGCATCCCAAATGCATGTACCAGATGCAAATTGTACCCTTTTGTCTCAGCATGTACATTTAGTTTTTTTGGCAAAGACGAGCTATGATAGGCAGTGGCTTTGCCAAGGCGAAGCAAATGATCTGAGTTATGTGTCTAGTTTCTCCAGCGGCCACTGCTACAGTGTCTAATAGGAGCACAGGAAAGAACTTCCTTCATAGCTTCCCACTTATCAGGATTCTGCCTAGGGTATCCTAAATTAGGTTAAGGAGGCAAACTGTGCAGACTCAGCACGACAGGGCTTATATCAAGCCAAAATAACATAAAACAGTTTTCAGCACAGTAGTATTTCAGCACAGCTTACATATAGAGTGAAACTTAAAAAATCATGCATAAACGGAGAACTTCAGCAGATAAAAGATACCTCCAGACAGACTTTTTGGTTCTCCTTAAATTAAATTAAAAATGATTTTTTTTTAAAAAAAGAATACATTTTTGTATTTATGATCAGCCCCAGTGTCAGACGCTTTTTGTACCCTAATGCTCCCTTTAAAGCACAATGAAGCATAGTTTAGTCTTGATTCATTTGACATAAATCAGATACCAGGAAACACTGATTCTCCATTTAGCTTATCTTGCTCCAGTGTGGGGATGGGAATTGGGGCTTAGTTGTTTTCTGGAGCAAATTGGAAATTATTCTTTTGTTTAAAGTTGAGAAATATTAAAATAGGCAGGCAGTGTGCCTTGGTTTGAGCTGATAGAGTTGAAGGTGTGTGTGTGTGTGTGTGTGTGTGTGTGTGTGTGTGTGTGAGAGAGAGAGAGAGAGAGAGAGAGAGAGAGAGAGAGAGAGAGAATAACATAGTTGGAAGGGACTTTGGAGGTCTTCTAGTACAGGGGTCTTCAAACTTGGCCCTTTTATGACTTGTGGACTTCAACTCCCAGAATTCCTCAGCCAGCATGCTTGGCTGAGGAATTCTGGGAGTTGAAGTCCATAAGTCATAAAAGGGCCAAGTTTGAAGATCCCTATTCTAGTGCAACCCCCTGCTCAGTTACGAAACTCTATACTATTTCAGACAAATAGTTCTTCAGTCTCTTCTTAAAAACTTCCAGTATTGGAGCATCTACAACTTCTGGAAGCAAGTTGTTCCACTGATTAATCATTCTGTCAGGAAATTTCTCCTTAATTCTAGGTTGTTTCTCTCCTTGAAGGAAGGAAGGAAAAGAAAGAACAGTTACGCACTTATATGAATGACTGTGTTTATGTGTGCAAATGTGAACCCCAGTATCATGGTACAGGATCAATTCCACCCATACTAAAGACTTCTCCATCTCCAAAGTCAGTAAAGAGTGAATACAGAACAGTAGGAGGTTTGGTTTTAAAAGCCTTGAAAACAAGACCCCAACATCCAAATAGAAGGAATTAATGCAGGCTTTTGAAATCTGACAGGATGAATTTGTGGGAGATCTGTTGAACCTATCTATTTCTGCAGAGGGACACTTTAGACCAACATGCTCTCCATGATCCTGCATGTTTTGGGGGAAAACAGTGCAGAGTAAAATTAAGCAGTATACAATAGTCATAGAAGATGGCAGTGCATAATAAAGCATTATTGGTCACATTATCTGCAACTCATTCTTAGCAAAGTCAGGACACCTTGAATGGCTTATCTGGGATTTGTAAGAAATAGCGCAGTGCATTTTACATTTTTTTTAATTTGCTACTTGTCTCCCCGCCCCCTCCCTTCATTTTTTACTAGGTTCTCCCAAGGCAAACTTGTGGATTATTTACACATACCATATTCTATAATGAATATCCAGGTGGCTCGAGTGAATTGGATAAAATCATCAATGGAGGCGAGCTTTTTCTTACTGTTCTCCTTAATCCTGTAAGTATTACTTCAAGAACCAATGGACTGAATCCTTGCAGCAAAGAAAAAGCGGGATATAAACATGATGATTAAGTTAGAGATCCATTAGCTACTGAAAGGTTTTGGAGTTGATAAATTCTAGAGCTGAATAACTTTCAGAAAAGTATATATATATGTGTGTATATGTGTAGGAGAGACTCTGTGTGTGTGTGTGTGTGTGTGTGTGTGTGTGTATGTTTGGATGAATGGATAGATAGAAATGATTCAGAAATGATTCAGAAGCTGAAAAGGCTTTAGACATAAGAGTTAAGCAAGAGCCATAAACAGTAATATCATTTCGATAATTCCCTGGTCAAGGTTTATTACATGGTATGGACACAGTGAAATAAGTTAAGTAAGGGTACAATTAGGAGTGCTGCTAAGCAAACTTTTTTTTCCTGAAATCAACAGAAATTAAAACTGGGAGAAATGATTGAAGTTGGGAGTAAATTTAGAATAGATGAAAGCTTTCTCTGACTTAGCATTTAATCCATTTATGGAATATACAGTAGTGGCCAAAATTGTGGAAACCTTTTGGGAAAAGTGTATTTTTGAGGTTTGATAGCTAATAACACCACTTTTTTTGGTATATCAATGGAAAGGTAATTTAATTAAGAATGTAATGCAACAAAGCTTGTTCAATTATCTGTACTGTATTCTATGAAAAGTTATAGCCAAATAACCAGAAAAAAGAAAGCACAACTTGCTTAGGTTGATATCAGGTAGCTTTCCTTCATCTGATTGTAGCCAATGAGCATGAGTGTTTAGAGAGCCAATCAGGTGTCATCTTGTTTTGGCAATGAGCCAATCAGATCACAGTAAGATTCAGTTATTGATGTCATTTATTGAAGCTGAGAGGAAGATGTTTGTCAGTGTGTTATGTGATCTCTATCAAGTTGGTTGGGTTTTTTTGTGTTCTTTCATTTAGTGAGCTTGTAAAACGTAATAAAATTAAAGTAAGAGTTGACTGGTATTCCAGAAAGCAATGTAAAATAGTATTATTAAGTGAACAAGGCTACAGTTATAAAGAAATTAGAAGAAAAATTGGTGGAAACTTAACCAAAGGTGGCATTTCTACTGTACACTTTTCCCAAAAGGTTTCCAATTTTGGCCACTACTGTATTACCACAAGGTATGCCGATCAGCTTGGATACTTTTTAAAAGGGCAGAAATGGCTCCCAGGCGCACTGTTCTTTATAGAAAATATGGTAGGTAAAAAGTTAAGGAGAATCTTTTTTAAAAAAAATTAAAGTGAATTAACAGAAGATATACCTTGTATTGTTGAAGGATAGTTTACTTCTTATCCTAAATATAAAGATTTTTTTTTCTTCATCATATCTAGATTTTTAAACTTCTTTGGGATGTTTGGATAGTGCAGAGGTCCCCAACCTTTTGGACACTAGGGACCGGTTTTGTGGAAAGAGGTTTTTCCGCGGACAGGAGTGTGTGGTTTTGGTTGCTGCCTGCATTTCACTAATGGGGCTTTGCTTGCTTGTGTGGCCTGGTTGCTGGCATTCTGCGACCCGATACAGTCCACGGACTGGGGCTTGGGGACCTCTGGGCTAGTGGATTGAAACCTTATGGCCCTTAATGCAGGAAAGCATTTTTGTGGGTTTTAGTTAGTTCATATGCATTTTTTGTTCATCTGCAAATAAATGTTTAGTGTTTCACTGCAAAAAATCCCTGAATACTATGGTAATTATTCTGATCTATGTTTTTTTCCCCCTCTCTTGTTCCCTCCCCTGCACAGATCAGTATCTTTATGACTCACCTCTCCAATTATGGAAATGACCGTCTGGGTTTGTACACCTTTAGACATTTGGTCCATTTTCTGAACTCCTGGACTAACTTGAAATTACAGACATTGCCACCTGTGCAGCTGGCACAGAAGTATTTCCAGATATTCTCTGAAGAAAAAGACCCCCTTTGGCAGGTGTGCATTAACTGCCTCCCTGGGCCTGCATTGCAAAATCTCCACTGTGTTTTACTGTTTTGTCTCTTCCTTGGTTTGAAAATCTGGACAAGTAGTTGTCTGTTATATAATACTCAGTTCAATTCAGTTAATTGCGGCCATAGACCAGCAGGATACTTAATACTCCCCAAGAAGAGTGGCAGATGTGAAATAACGTTCTGTGAAATGTGTAGCGGACGGGGACTTGCAACAGTATTCAGGAGAGTTGCTTCTTTCTATCCGATGAGCAACAAATCTCATCCGGTCAATCCTTTCAGTTGTACATCTGATTAGAAAAAAAGTATTCTGATAATTAGATCTCAATATTGGTCCCCTGGAGAAGGGAGAGCCTTTGAAAAATGTATTTTTTTTTCTTTTAAGAGGGGGAAAATCATAAAAAAACTATAGCTTCCGAAGTATGGAGCAGACCCAGCACAGTAGTGAAGTAAAAGATGGTATCTTCCTTCCTTCCTTCCTTTCTTTCTTAAAACTTACAACCACAATGGAGGCCAAAATTTCTGTTGCTAAGCAAGACAGTTGCTAAGTGAGTTTTGCCTGATTTTATGGCCTTTTTTACCACAATTGTTAAGTGTCTCCCTATAGTTGCTAAGTGAATCATGAGGTTGTTAAGCAAATCTGGCTTCTCCCATTGACTTTGGTGGAAGCCAGCTGGGAAGATTATAGTCGGTGATCACATGAGCCCAGGGCAGTGCAACTATCGTAAATACAGTTGCCAAGTGCCCAAAATTTGATCACATGGGGATGCTACAACAGTCATAAGGATGAAAAACAACCGTAAGCCTCCTTTTTTCTGTGCTGTTGTAACTTCAAACAGTGACTAAACGAATGGTTGTAAGTCAAGGACTACCTGTACTTGAAATTGCTGGCTTTTGAGAGACCTCTTCAGTAAGAGCAGTTGGCCTATAAAAACCCTGTTCCCCTGATGCCCTGGCTGATTCCCAGCATGTGGTCATGTTTTAGGATCCTTGTGAGGATAAGCGCCACAAGGACATTTGGTCCAAAGAGAAGACCTGCGACCGGTTCCCCAAGCTGCTAATTATTGGTCCTCAGAAGACAGGTATGGTAGTAGCTGATGTCTGCTGTATGCTTAAATATATTATCCCAATGATTAGATTACAGTATCATTTTAAACCATAATATATGAACTAAGCCACAATTGACTAAGCCTGTACAATTCACTACTCCAAAACCTAACAAATCATCTCAAGGTGTATTTATTAGAATAAGCAGTTTAATAGTCTTCAACTTAATAGTCAGGCTAAGGAGAATTGGCTGTTTCAAGTAATGGTAAGTAAAATTTGTGAGCCATTGAACAGTTATTGTTGGTGCCATTTGTCATTACCCGTGGTTCATGGTTCAATATAGGAAACTGGGATAAAATAAATAAAGAAAAAAAACCCTTATCCTTTTACCTGAATTTATTTTAGAGAGAGATTTTTTTTAATAATAGCAATGTAATTCTTCCTCAGAGCTGGAGAAGCCACTGCCAAAAACGTTTAATATAATTGGAAATCTGGTAATATTTAGGCTAAGTTTACAAGGCTGACAGAAATAGAAAATATAGGTTAAAGACTCAGGCTTTACACGAGAGGCCTTTTTCTTGCCTGTGAGATGACAGCCGTTTAAAAGGCCATTTACTCATGTAGTAGGATAAAATATCATATATGCCGTAATGAAGAAATGCACTGGGGTTAGTATTGGTTTTTAACATTTTTTTTATTGAGACTGAACATATCGAGTCTGCTTATCCCTAGAAATATCTAGATCTGTGTTTCTCAACCTCAGCAACCTTAAAGTCTGTGGACTTTAACTTCTAGAATTCTCCATCCAGCATGCTGGCCAGAGAATGTTAGGAATTGAAATCCACACAGCTCAACCTTGCTGAGGTTGAGAAACAGCTATCAAGAGTGTAAAATTCTGGCAGAAGGTTGACAGAAAAGCAGTTTTTTTAGCTCTTTGTCCCCCTGCCCCATTTCTTCTCTTCCTCCTTGAAAGGTACCACTGCCCTCTATCTCTTCCTTGGGATGCACCCTGACCTGAGCAGTAACTATCCCAGCTCGGAGACCTTTGAAGAGATCCAGTTCTTCAATGGACATAATTACCACAAGGGCATTGACTGGTAGGCTGATTTTGTAGCAACTCTTGTGGTGGGGTGGGTGGATGAGGAGCTGTCCTTCCAGTTATATTTTAGCTCATAGTGACACTGCAAAGGAATGAAGGAACAGCCTGTAATTCTTCTCATCTATTTTGCTGGAATGTTCTGAAAATCAAACAGATATCTAGCAAGCAAGAGGCAAGCTTCCCTTCGAATATAGATTTGTGGAAGAAATACACATATTTAGCTTCTAAGGTTTAATGAATGAATTAATTTTATTTGCCGCCCATCTCATTTCGAAGCGGCTCTGGGCATCTTATAGCGGAAAATATTAAAACCATCAAAAGTGAATATTCCTGACACAATAAATTAAAGTACAAGCAAAGTAAAATCATAGATACAAGATGGAAGGAGGGAGCCAGATGCAGGGGGGGGGAGGTGGGGGAGGTGGGATTGACTCTTAATTAATCAACCACCTCCAGTGTGATATCCCCCATTGGTACCCCAAGCCATCTGGCAGAACCTAAGGCTCTTGGGGAAGGTCAGAAGGTCTCCCCTCAAGGGGTGAGATACTCCAAAGGGCAGGAGCCAGGTTGCTTCTTCTACTTTGTCAGCTGACCATCTCTGTAAGCCTGATCGTTACACAGGTTTTATCTGATTCCCGCACCAGGTTTCTGCAGTGATGCCTTGTAAACATGTGTTAATTCTACTGGGCTAGAGTGTGAATGAGGAAAACAGGATTTTGTGTTTCATATCTGTTGTAGTGTTTCCCCCTCCTTTCTCAAAATGTACTATTCATTCCTTGGGCGTTTGCTTGGGAGGAACGGTGATCAACAGCTGGTCTGTTTGTCTTGTGTTCATTGGTTCATGCTGCATTTGCCGTATGCTTAATCTTTTCCATAAATGTAATAAACTGCAGTCTGTTAATTCTTTGATCCAGAAGAATGCTTCATTGGTTGTTCAGGCTTAAGTTCTAAAATCAGCTACATTCTAATGACTGTCTTGACTAATACGGTTTGGGGCTGGAAAGAAACCTTTGATGCGTCTTAATCCTTGTTCTGTTTAAAGTGGCATAAACAATTGACATTGAAGAAGAATCTGAAACTATTTCTGCATTGCTTCACCCAATCTATTTTTCCCTTTCTGCCGCTGGTTTTTTTTTTTAAAAAGGTATATGGAGTTTTTCCCCATTCCTTCCAACACTACTTCTGATTTCTATTTTGAGAAGAGTGCCAATTACTTTGATTCAGAACTCACGCCAAGGCGGGCTGCTGCACTGCTTTCCAAGGCAAAAATAATCACCATCCTCATCAGTCCTGCAGATCGGGCCTACTCTTGGTATCAGGTAAGCTGCTCCATCCTGGTATTGTCTTCTTGACCTAAAGCACTACAGATTAGTGGAAAGACAGTGTAGATATTAAACATAATAACAGCAGCTCTTATGTCTTTAGAGAAGCTCTTCCTGCCTGCTCACCAGTCTGCAAGGCTCTCTGAAGCAGCAATTTCCCTTTACCGTTAGAATTCAGCTCTCTAGACTGTCGTGCCTCAATTTTTTCCTAGATCTCACGTGGCCCTACATGTTCCCTAATTGCTGCCTGTTTCTCTGCTTGTGTCTTCCTCTCCTTTCCTCTTTCTTGTTTCTTCTCTGCTTCTTTGAATGTCTCTTTAAATGTTTTTTTTTCTTCTTCTTAATAGCATCAACGGGCACATGATGATCCAGTTGCCCTGAAGTACACCTTTCATGAGGTGATTACAGCTGGACCTGAAACCTCTCAGAAGCTTCGGACTTTACAGAACCGTTGCCTAGTACCAGGCTTGTATGCTACCCATGTTGAACGCTGGTTGAATAATTTCCATGCCAATCAGGTAAGCAAGTCATGAATCTTTAGTTTTACCTTCTCAAAAAACAAAATGGAGAGAGGGTTTAATGAAGCCGAATGTTTATATATACAACCATATATTCAGTGCTCTTTGTTTCTTATGGAAGATGCATATGTTTTCTGGAATGTTGGAATTCACTGTATGTGGATTCCACCTGGCTCTGAAAAGTCTGTAAAGAGATTCCCTGAGAATTGGATGAAACGTTTAGTTCCTTCCAGTGGTAGTTATTGTTATCCTGTGAGATTAGTTAAGAATAGGACAACAAAAAATTCACCATGCTTGTGTTTTATTTTGAAGTGAAGGGAATGAGAGATGCAGCTGTGTACTTTGTCAGCTGGCCAATGTCAGAATGTATTAAAAATTCTATTACTCCAACATTATCTTTTATGGTTTTTATAACATTAAGAAAGAAATCCATTAATGACATGGTGAACATTTCCAAGAAAACTTGCTTCTGGCCACAAAATGCAGATCTCTTTCATGGGTTGATACAGTGCTTAAAAAGCAGGCTGTTATTCCATCCGGTGACAACTGTAGTCAGTATTGCAACTTAGAGTCAGCATATATGCAGGCCCAAGTTTACAGTCATGGGGATAGTTAGCAGTTCGCCAGAGACAGATAACATTCTGGTCATTCATTCATTCATTCAGTCAGTCAGTCAGTCAATCAATTAAATTTATATGCTGCCCATCTCACCATCGAGCGACTCTGGGTGGCTTGCAACAGATAAAAACAAGAATATAAAAATATTAAAACAATTAAAATTAACAGAAGTTGGCTAAACTGGGAACCGGTACATGAATAGGATGGAGGTGGGAATCTTCTTAGTCCGTTAGTCACTTTCAGCATGGAATGTCTCCATCAGGGCCCCAAGCCAGTCTACAGAACCAGGTTTTGAAGGTCTTTCAGAAAACCAAGAAGGTGGTGATAGATCTCGCCTCCAGAACATCTTTTAAAGATGTAGTGTAGAATAAAGCCAAGCAAGTGAGCCCTACAAATATTCCCATTTAAAAACATAAGCCATGATTGCATCTAGAAAGCAATCTGGCATTTTCTCAGTAATATATTGTGCCACAGAAGCTAGAGTGAAAGAGGAAGGGAAATACTTTTTAAATGATACAACAGGAGCAAGACGCTGATGGTTGTTCGTGGAGGAGCTGCAGACACACAGCTGTGGAGCAACAGAAATCTCATTCTTCACTTCCCACGAAAGGAAAGAAACCTCAAAATAAATTGCTAGCACCTCTTTGTGCATGAAACAGTTGCTAAGGGAAAAAGAAACGAAGCAGCCTGGATGTTCACATATTTGTTCTGTCATTGCTTCATTTTGCATACAACCATACGGTAAGCGTGATATATTCAGTGAAACTGTATGGAAGAAAAATCTGGTCATGCAGTACAAGGATATCTAAGGCCAACAAGCCAATTTTCCCCTCCAAAAATGAATATATGCCGCCTGATACTCAGGAGCTGGGAGAAACAGGCATTCTGTAGGAGATGACCAGGCTGACCCTGAGGGAGGGGTCAAATGCATCATCGGTCATGAGTCCCTTCATGCCCACAAGAGATCTAAGTCCACCTTGAATTCCTTATCTACCGCCAAATTGCTTTGACCAATAGTAGTTCAGATTCTTGTAGAGAGCTTAAGCTTGTAATAAATTTTTATACTCATTTGAACTACATGGATCTCCTGATTTCTCTGGTGCCTGGCACATTCCTAACAATGAGAAAGCAGATTGCCTACAAACCCTGCAGGTCTTTATGGTGACAAAACAAGGTGCCAAATTTTAGTTATTTGGGGGTCATTGTAGATGAGATGGAAATAAATTAACTCAGATGTTGAATCCAGATTGTGACATAAAAACAGCTGGAGTAGTCCAAAAACCCATGTGGAAATGCCTTAATAATAAACTAAATAAAGTACAAAACAATTCAAATTGGAAAACTAATGGCATAAATAATCTAGCTTGGAGTGTTGGCTGAAGTAACCTCACTGAATTTAGGATTTTACTGAAAATCTTTTGGACAGAAACCAGGAAAGCACATAAAGTTTCTTTTGGGTCTGGAATCTAATCTATAAGCATGGGATCTCTTGAGTTTCTAGACCCAAGGTGGATAACTATGGCAACTTTACAACTTCAACTCCCAGAACTCCTGAGCCAGCATGAGCTCAGGAATTCTGGGAGTTGGAAGTCCACAGGTCTCAAAGGGACCATAATTGCCCATTCCTGATCTAGACACATGGCTGTTGAACTACATTTTTACAAACAATAACTAGTTTCCAATTTGTGATCATTTTGAAGATGAAGCCTAAGCCTTAAATCTGGTGAGTAATAACTACCATGATGAATACAGTTATCTGATATATTACTCTGTTAGATTATTTCTATTTTGGGATTCAGCAGGTGGGTTCAGCAAATATAGGAGAATTATTTTTATTATTTAGAAATATTTTTTCTAAATATTCTTGTTTTATTTTTGTCAAGAGAGGAATTCCTTATCCTATCCTTGTGCATTTGATTTCAGCTTCTTAAGTGAAGAGCGATGCTATCTGCCAATCTGAGAATCATTTTCTTCATCTTGCCCACCTTTGATCTAGACACAGGGAGTCGTGGTGGCACAGTGGTTAGAATGCAGTATTGCAGGCTAACTCTGCCCACTGCCAGGAGTTCGATCCTGACTGGCTCAGGGTTGACTCAGCCTTCCATCCTTCTGAGATTGGTAAAATGAGGACCCCGATTATTGGGGGCAATAAACCACCCAGAGAGTGCTGTAAAGCAGAATGGAGCTTGTATAAGTTTAAGTGCTATTGCTATTGCTATCTTTTAAGCCAGTTATTAATAATAATAAAAAATCAAAATAATTTTAAAAACTCCTGATAGGGGTTGAATGTTGTGATTTACCAATCAGTATGTTACTCAGTTGCAATGAGAATTTTATGCGTTTTTAGTACAATTTTCAAACTAGCTGTGTCTCAACTTAATCTTTGTCCAGCCAGCATTTAACTAACTTGCTAATCATAATCTCATGGGGACTTTGTGTTAACATTGTAGACATAGTGTATTTGATTTCAGCAGAGCATTTAACAGTCTGCTAAGAAGATTAACATTAAGTCTGTCTTAGTACACAAATATTACTTATGTTGATTGGAGGCCATAACTAATTGGGTCTGGTGCAAAGCCTTTTCTTTTAACACTGAAAAGGATATGCTTGTCATCAATAATAACAAATAGTTTTAATTTAAGTAGCTTGCTAGCACCATCAATTTTGAGCTGTAAAGATGGAAGTGTTCTATCTTATCACTTGAGATGTTCATGTTAAAATATTGCTATTGTGGGAAATGATCTAGTATGATCTTGAAATTTAGATTATTTTTTTTAAAGAAGCTTACTGGTTTGTTTCCATCAGGAGGATTTGAATAAATCTGGAAGGTTCTTAAAGGTCTCTTCGGTATAACCCCTGTTCACCTTGTTTATTTTTTCCCCCTCTCTCTCTTTTTGGCTGATATCTCTGGAAGGATGGAGTGTTTGTATATGTACTTTTATTTCTAAATGAATAGTTTGAATATACTGATGGGCATTACTCATTTTTTTCAAATGGAGTACCCAATAATAAATTAATCTTAATTGATAATTTTTTTTATCCTGGCGTACACTTTTTTGAGTGTGGCTTCTGACAAGTGTGTGTCGATGTGTGTCTGTGTGTATAAGTACATATAAGACATGTATAAATATGAGAAAGCAGGTGTGGTATAGAGATTAAGATGTTGGATTGGCACTTAGGAAATCAAGCTCAAGTCCACTCTCAGCTAAGGAAGTTCAATGGGTGATTTTGGATTAGTCACTTTCTGTCAGCCCAACCTATTTCACAGGGTCGCTGTGGGGTAAACTGGGATGAGAGATAACCAGCTTGAACTTTGGGATGGAAGGCAAGAGATAAATGGAACAAATAAATGCACCCATTTAATTGAGAGAGGGAAGTGTCTAGGATTGACTTTGGCTGAAACTGTCTTAAGTTTATAAGGTTGAAGAAGCTAGGAATTGCACAGTATTTTTATGTGCATTTATAATTTTTATTCTTACTACTCTTCTTTTGTGGGGAGAATCATCTTATACCATACTCCTTTGGGTAAATATAATCAGTTAAATGGATTTTAAGCCACATAGAACAGCTGATATGTTTCTTTATCTTAGGTTTAAGTTAGGAAATATCAGTGTAAGAAAATGACTTTGATTTATTTAACAAATTTTAGTGGAGGCTGAAAAATAGATGGGCAGGTCATTGAGAGACGGTATGTGTGCCCATTGTGGTACTACTATAGAAATACTTTGTTCACTAAGTTATAGCAGTGTATAGCTTTCTTATGCTATTTGCCCCTCCTTTGCTTTCGAGTTAGGATATAATAGAAATGAAATACAAATTTTCACAGTCTTGTTCTAGGAAAAAAAAAACCAGAAGTGGATTTATTTATTCTTTTGATCTGCTCTATTACTACCTCTGAGGAGTGAAACTGTCTCTGGTCCTGGTGCTACATATTGCAGTTAGGAAGGTGTATGTTTGTATAAGAGAGGAACCTAACATACATATGTATTTAAAAATGTCTTTCAGATTCTTGTTCTGGATGGCAAGCGACTACGCACAGAACCAGCCAAAGTAATGGAAACAGTCCAGAAATTTCTTGGAGTGACAAACGTCATAGATTATCATAAAACTCTAGTGTGAGTTCATTGCATAAGCTTTCGTTGAATTTAATCTTTGAATATGTTTTCAGGATTGGATCCTACTTGCTTGGATCCCTCGCAGTGTGTGCATTTTTTCCTTGTCAGCTGAAGAGCTGATTCTGTTTGGAGCACTGTAAATTGGCTTCCTTTCATTTTGCAGACATCAAACTGCTCTGAAGTTTTGAAATCCTTCATGGCAAAGGATTATAATAGAGTATAGACTGTGGTGGTTAGGAATAAGACTGTGTTCGACTCTGGCTTCAGTAGTAATAAAATGCAGAATATTAAATACTGTTTTCTGTAACAAATACGTAAACATTACATTGAACAATTTGTAATGCATGGACGATTGATTGTCCATAACAGAACACTGCGCATTTTCTTTCAAGTACATATTATATACATATGTATGTAATAGGAATAATAATCTTTTCTATCCTCATTCCTGGTAATGTGTTTCAGGGGTCAGTTTCCCTGTTTACTTTCTTGCAAACCCTTTCACGAGGAGTTTCTTCCCTGGTAGTTTAAAACATGTGGATCTGAATTCCTGCAGAGAAACAAATTATGGGGAGGAGAGGAGAAGAGAACCATGCTCACTTCTCCATGTCCCATTACCTTTTGGTGAAGGGAATATATCCAGGGGGAGGTCTACAAGCACGTGCACAAATAAAGCAAGTTTTATCAGACTACTATTAAGATACATTAGTGTCCTTTGAAATCCACAGAAATTATCTTTCTCTTGTTCAGAGCTGTGGAATATTTTATAATCAAGAGGTATTACCATATATGCCGGCGTATAAGACGACTTCTGGAAGCGCTAAACTCGGCGCCAAAGACGGGGGTCGTCTTATATGCCGAGTCGTCTTATACGCCGGAAATACTGGTAGTTTCCAATGTATAAGACGACGTTCTAGGAATGCGGCTTGGCGATAAAGATGGGGGTCGTCTTATACGCCGGGTCGCCTAATACGCCGGCATATACGGTACTTCTTTTCCTTCAGAGCATTTGCATTTGTAAACAATCCTGGCTAGTGCAATTCTTAGTCCATGGCTTAAGAACCATTTTTTAATAGAAATGTGTGTGCATGTCATCTAAATTTAGGACAAGAAGCCGTTTATACCTAGCTAAAGGACCACCACACAGTGCATTTAAAAATCAGTGGAATCAATAGATTAGCAGAGAAATATGAAAGCGCAGGAATTTATCCTTTCCCTTCCACTGCTATTGAGTTTTGTAGCAGAGTAATAGTGCAATATAGTCATTCCATATGTCTGATAAAAGGGATCTCATTTGAATCAGGAAAGTTGGTTTCCATATTTAATTGTATGTAATTACTGCATGTATAAAATAAGTAATTCCAGTTACAAAACGGGGATCATTTGTATATCATCTTTGTAATTTGTGATAGGTTTGACCTCAAAAAAGGATTCTGGTGCCAACTATTAGAGGGAGGAAAGACCAAGTGCTTGGGGAAAAGCAAAGGAAGAAAATACCCAGAGATGGATTTAGATGTAAGTATGTAAAATGAGGGTATTTTTCATCCGCTGTTCTTAGAAGACACTGGCGCAGTTGTGCACTAGGTAACCAGCTGATCTGATTTTGTACAGACAGGAGCCCCACTAACCTTTGCTCTGTCCTTAGTGAAAGCTTCTTCCTCTCCATGGTGGGATTCCATGCCACTGCAGTAAGGCTATGAATTTATGAAACATATGTGCCCCAGTAACTTAGATTTGTCCCCACGGTCATCGTTCACAAACTGCTGCAAGATAAGATGTGGCCCTACTTGGGCATTTCTCATGAATCTTTCCCAGATGGGCAGTTAGACTGTACATATCAGCCTTGCTAGGATGGTTCTTGAATTCTTCCCTTGCTGAAGGGTAACGTCTCATCATAGATGAGGGGCAACTGTTTCTATGATGCTTAGAGTAAATAGACCCTGAATTTGAAATTCTGTGGGTATATGGGGAGAAAGAGTACAGGTGGTTAAATCAACATAATATGTTGTCTTTGATCTTTTCTTATATTATCTACCAAAACCTGAATTCCCCCCCTACATAGAATAATGCTTTAGAACCATCTTACATTTTTGCAGTTTCAGGATTATAGCTAAAATTGGGTGCTATTTTCTGTTGAAAAACAAAAAACCCTCCATAACTTAGGAGCTAAATCCAAGTTGAAAACAATCTATTTTGATTGGGTGCCTACCCTGATTCTGCTTGAACTTTCACCTACTGTCAGTGAGTCCTGAATTCAACTCCTCTTGACAAGGAATCTCTATTTTATGCTTTTTTGATATTTGTATGTATGTATATATTTACTTACTTACAGGATTTAGATGCTGCTTATCTCAAATGATGACTCTAGATTAGGGGGCCACGACCTATTCGGAACTGGGCTGCACAAGTTGCAGGCCAGCGTGCCCGGATGCACGTACGCAGCTCAACTTGCACAAGTGGTGAGCTGACCCAAGTGCACATGCGTGCGCAGCTCAACTTGCGCAAGTTGAGCTGCTTGCATACTGGCCCACCACTCGCACAAGTTGAGCTGCGCGTGCACGTCCAAACCACTGCTCGTGCAGCCCTGTTCCCTCTCCTTCCCAACTGAGCCGCCAAGACACAAAGGTTGGGGACCGTTGTTCTAGACAGTTCAGAACAAACCAATAGAAACATGGTTTAAAAACAAAACTATTCTGCTCCCGGGCACCAGACCAATTTTTCTTGCAGCTCAACCCCATCCTATGCTTGGGGGAAGAGCCAGGTTTTCCTACCCTGCTGGAAGGATAGGGATCTATCAGATCTCAGGTGGGAGGCTGTTCCAAACAGCTGGGATGGCCACCAAGAGGTCCCATCAGATGGCAACAGTTAAGGCAGGGGGGCTGGAGCACAGCCACCCTATATAAACTAGTAGGATGTGCAGATACCCTCAGGTATATATACTTGCCATATAGCATTTCCCCAGTCTTTGGATTGGATAGTAACTTCCATTTCAGAGCCACCAACATTTTTGTATAGTACAGCGGTTCTCAACCTATGGGTCGCGACCCTATTTGGGGTCGATCGACCTCTTTTGTGGGGTCGCCAAACGCGGCGATCCGCCATTTTGTTCCCTCCGGGGGCGCGCCGCGCCTCCGGGGGGGGCGGTGCTGCGCACGCGCGCTGTGCGTGGGGGCGGCAGCGCGCCTCCCGGGGGCGCCACCACGCATGCGCGCTGCACGTGGGGGCGGCGGCGCGCCTCCAGGGGGCGCCGCCACGCATGCGTGCCGCGCGTGGGGGCGCCGCCGTGGCTCCGGGGGTGGCGCCGCGCATGCGCGTCGCGCGCGGGAGCCCTGCCCCCATGCGCGCCGCGCGTGGGGGCGGCGCCGCACATGCGTGCCGCGCGCGGGGGGCCCGCCCCCATGTGCGGCCGCGCCGCACATGCGCATAACGTTTGTGTGACGGGGGTCGCCGTCACACAAACGTTGAGAACCGCTGGTATAGTACAACCAGTGAACTCAGAGAAAAAGATATGATAGCATTAAATATATTGCAGCTTTCAGAGCAGTGAAGTTATCATTGCTGCACTCTGTGTCTTGGGTCCTATAAGGATAGCCCTGGTTGGCACCAAGAGGAGGAGATGTCTCCTGTGGCTTAATAATTCATGCATTCCAGGGTACTCTGTCCCCTCTAGTTTAACATCTTCATCTTATATTTAGTCATAACATTTAATTACACTTCTTTGTTCTTTTCTTTCTTCCTCGTACAGTCCAGAGCATTTTTGAGAGATTATTACAAGGACCACAACATAGAGTTATCCAAGCTACTGTATAAAATTGGCCAGACACTGCCAACTTGGCTGCGGGAAGAACTCCAGAACACTAGATAGCCACTTTTTATCTCTTGTATTAAGCAATAGTAGAATGGATCCTCGGGGAGGATCTCAAGCCTCTACTCCAAGCCAACAGGACGTGATAAGATGTGAGATATTCAACAGAGAAGAAGCATTTTGAGAAATATCCATTCAGGATGTTTGTGGAAAAGTGAGAAACTGCCAACATGGTTGCTTGGAAGAAAGCAGCCATCTGAAGAACTACTGGAATTGATGTACAAGCAGTGCCTCAGGGCCAAGCCAGGAGTGTGACATCTGTTTCTGCCAGATTGCTCAAGGCCCCATCTTTACTGAAAGTATTGAGGTGTGGCCTTCTTGGCTGTAATGCCACTTTTTGGTGAAGAAGATTCCTAAAGATCTGAGTTTTCCTTACACTTTAGTTCCAATATCTGGAATAGTATTACAACAAAATGACTCCTTCTCTTGGGATAGCACACACAGGAGAACCAAGAATTCACCAGGGATCAAGAATAATAGTCCTGCACATGTATGGGTTTGCAAAAGAACATCATTGATAATACGAACATGGAGCCAGAGGGAGGCCATGCTCCAAGTATGGACTTAATTATGCAATTTGGGCTCAGACTGAGATAGGACTGAGATAGTGTTCTGGAGCAGAGTTCTTAGTTAAAGCAGATGCTCTGTTTTTATATGGAAGACTTTGGTATTGGCAATATTTAGACTATCCCAGATGGACTTTTTTCTGTCTTCTTATTTAGAAATATATTGGGAAAGGGATGGGATGACCAAGAGTGAGCAACATAGTCATCTGACAATGTTGGCAAGAAGAACTTGCTCCAAAGAGATATTTTAATTTGTGTCCTTCTTATAGCCCTGTCTCTGGTTTCAAAATTATATGAGATGTGGTTTAAGATTCAATAATTGAATCCATTTTTAAAAAAAATTCTGGTGCACATATCCTGCCTGTTTTAAAAGAGGATGACATTCTAGCATCATGTGTAAACTTTGCTTTAACGGTCAGCCTAAATACAGCTTAAGAGAATTGATCCTCTTGAGTACTGAACAAACAGTATTTTACTAGTTTTCTTTTTGAACATTTTGGAGTGGGATAGGGATACATATTAGAGTTGGTATTCCCAAGTATTAGGTTCTTATTTTCCCACCCTTTTGCTATTGTAGAGAATAGAGAAAAATGGCCCATGGGTTTGGTTGATTTGTCATCATAATGTCTGTTTCTGTTAGAATCATTTTAGGATAAGCCTGTGGCTGTCCATTTTTCAATTATTTCTTCCTGTCCAATGTGTCTTATTGAGCTGTGACTGAGACTTTCCGATAACCCACTTATTCTAGTTTACTAAATTCCTTTGTGTGTATATGTGTATGTATGGAATTTATAAATATGCTGCTAATAGTATTGTGTATTCATGCATGCACACACACACATATACACACTTGCCCATTGCTGTCTGTGTTTGGAGCCACATTAACGAGGTAAATAGAACCCATTTTCCCCCATTTGGCTTATTCTGTCCTGTCGTGCTAGGCATTGGATGTGTCATGGGAAAGGCATGTTAAACTTGCAGTCCAGAGGGCGCTGGGAGAACAGAGGTCATGACAAGAGTCAAAGGCTTTTGAAAAGCCTTTTTAATTCTTCATTGGAGGAATTAAAGACACTGGAGTATGGACTGATCTGACTACTGTTTGATCCAAAGTTGGAGAGTTGTTATAATTTTTTTCCCCCAAAAAACCGTTAGTATTGCTAATGGAAACATTTACTATAAATTCAATAATAGGGCGCGAAAAAGATTTCTAAGCTTTTTCAATTTGGAGGTAGGTGGTTTTTTTTCCCCCTCCACCAATATCTTCCTGTTTTGCTTAAAGGTTTCTGGAAATAATCTAACTATTGGAAGTGATTTGCTAGACCAATCATCTTGTTCTAGTTTTCATCGAAGCTATAATCCTGCTAGCACCAGGTCTATGAGTCAGTGTTTCCCAAACTTGACAATTTTAAGGCACGGGGACTTCAACTCCCAGAATTCCACAGCCAGCGTTGCTGGCTGTGGAATTCTGGGAGTTAAAGTCCCCATGCCTTAAAATTGTCAAGTTTGGGAAACACTGCTATGAGTGAACATTTGGAGAAAAGGCAGAAGCAAAAAAGGTTTCTACTTAACTTAGATTTTTACTGCCGATAATTGCTGCTAAAGGTTTATAGGCCTCTTCTGGGTCAGAGTAACTCTGTAGAGGACAAAAGTCATTCTCACACCAGTATCAGCAATTCTTCAATTACTGTGTGTGAATTCAATTCCAGTTCTTCTGAAATCCATCACAGTCCAGCTATAGCTTCAACACATTTGTTTCCATTGGCCCTATGTGTGAGCACCATCTAGTGGATCATGACAGTTCATAGATTCGTAGAGTAAAATTTGAGTAAAATAGAGTAAAAGCTGCAGAAAACCGTAGGCCACCGAGTGTATAACTGTTTAGTGTAGCAATCTAAACTGAAACACACCCAGCATCTGACTGCCTCATCTCTACTTGAAGATAACCAGTAAAATAATTTCTTCCACTGAAACTCAAATTCCTCTAAATATTAGAAGGTTTTTTTTTTCTCTCCCTAATAATCAGAATCTGCCTTTCTGTATCTTAATCCATTATTTTGCATCCTGCAGTCTTGGATTGTAGAGAGCATGTCTCTGTGTGATGTGCTTTCAGATATAGGAAGACTGAGATCAATTTCCCCTAAATTTTAATATTATGAATTCTTTTCAATCCCTCTTTATAGTTCTTACCACTGTTCTTCTCCTTTTCACCTTCATTATGTTTATTCTCCATGTTTGTTTAGGCAGCTATGCCAGTAATGAATGTGCATTTGAGACAGAAGCCTGTGTAAGACCAAACTTGGGGGGATGACATTGTCGTGTGCTACAGTTAATACAGTATTTTACGTGCGGCCTTCTGTATGAAAAGATTAGCTGTACTTGAAAGCAAAGTGTGCTGAAGAGTTCCAAGCTTCCCAGTACCCCTAATTAGATGGACATTTTAAGGTAGAATGAACACAGCCGGGGATGGGCAGGAGGCAGAGTTGCATCTACTGGCAACTTTAGCTTGCCCTTCTGCTGCAAATTATTCCGAGGTCTTGGCTCGCTGAGGGAATTCTGGGAATTGAAGTCCACACATCTTGAAACACTGCCATGTTTGTAAAACGCTGACGTAGAAGGAGGCTATTGGCAGAAAAGATGCAGTGACAGACTTGGAATGACAAGATCTTCGCATTTGACACCTGCAGCCTTATGAAATAAGACCCAAAGTCAGACAGGCTGTCCCTTCCAAGCCATTGTAAAACAGGAGCAGCATCAAGAAAAAAGGACCGCTGAAGGATGGTAATGAAGAGACTGCATTGGTCCACTTGAGATATGGGTCATTCATCAGAAATGTAAGCTTGCTTTGAGAAATTTTGGCTTGGAGCGCACAAAAGGTCCTCTGTATCACTGCCTCCCAGTACTAGGTTGACTTTGCTATGGTTTCAGATTTCTAAGCAGACTTTTCTATGCAGAAACCAAAACCAAAACCCTGGAATTATAATCTGCAAAACAATGTATTTTCCTTTGCCTTTTGTGGATGGAATCATCTTTACAACTTAAGAACAAAGGATGCCCCCCCACTTCACTCCTATTGTTGAGTGCAGTTTCTGTGTGCCTCTTTGGTGCATCAGGATACCTGAATCAAACTACCAAGTTAAGCATTTGATAATGTGAAACTATAGTCTTGCTTATCTGTATGATGGCCCTCAGGAAGTTGTTTTAAGACAGTCTACAGAGGCAATGGCAGCTGCTACCTAAAGGTTCATTCTCATTGTGAATATTATGATTATCCCTGTCTTAAATAATAAAATGAAGTACAATGTTTAAATCTTGGCTTCTCAAGATAGCAGTCTACATGCCATAGAATGCTGCCAAAAGCGAGACCTTCAAAAAAGAAGAAATAAACTTAAGGATGTGTGTAATGAAAGTATTAATTTGTACTGCTCCCAAATGCTGGTGTGATTTAATGTGCACAAGAGAGGAGGAAGCATTTGCCTTTTCACTTAGTAAGTTGGTCAGCAATAGTTGGAAAACACCACTCTCTCTGGGTAACAGAGAACTTGCTAAAATCTGAGTTTGAAGAAGGACACTTTTGTTTTGTTTTGTTTTTTTTTTTGTTTTTCTTTTGTTTAAAAGGAAGAACTCTGGGAATTCCTTTGTCATGTTTGCATGAGATTCTGTATGTTTTCCCATTGGGAAGGGCAGGGGTTATTTTGTCATGGTGGGAGGGAGGAAAGGGGAGGGAATATTTTTAAGAGTCTTTCTCCCGTATTTTTAATCTGTACTTGGACTCATTTTGGGTTCAGAAAACTCTGTCACTAATGTAATGTCCTGGTGAACTAACTGCTAATAAAATGGGGTTGTCTGTTTTTAGTTAACTTTGTGGCCTTTTTTTTTTTTTGGTATATGTGTAGATTTTCTCTGATTCTTTGAAATTGAAATTGAACTTTTTTTTAAAAAAAAAAAAAGGATTGAAATAGAGGTAACAAGCTGAAGCTCCCAGACCTGATGTAGTCCCTTGCCAGAACCTTGGGACAACCCCAAAGCTATTCCAATAGTTTCTACTCAGTTATATTTTTACAATTTAGATTTTTCTGCCAATTTAGATTTTTTTCCCCCCGCACCTATCTCAAGGTCAGCAAATGTGATTGAGTAACCTCCATCCCCCCAAAAAATGAATTAGTTACACTATGATAGAGCTCTATGATCTCTTGTCTAAAAACCTTCTCTGACCTTGGGCAAGGACTTGGGTTTGATAGTTACCTACTCATGTTTGGGACTGGACAGACCCCCTCCCCCACACATACACATTAAATTCATCTGTACTTTATTTAAGCCCAAATGATGGTATCCTAACATTTTAGCATGGCAGTAGTTAATCTTTTAAATATGTACGAGTTGCATAACAATGCAAACCAAGTAAACAAAAGAAATACGGTAATCCTGTTCATTGAACTGGGTTTGGCTGCCATTTACTTGATGCCAAATATGTAAGAACACTACATTTCTTAGCTCAGATTTGCTTCCTTGGAATTCACGATTTCGTGGTTTATTTCACCCTAAAACCATTTTGCCAAGTGGCAGTGTTTAGCACTGAGATGAAGGTTGGCTTGCAGAAAGCCTGGCTAGTACTTGGAGGGAGGTTATTGTGCTGCAAACTAAGCTGAAGAATTCTACCAGAATAAAATAAGGGGCAAACTTTCATGTATTGTTGCCAAGCAAAGATATGAAAACCTCCATAAAGAAACTTGTCTCAAGGTGAAAGCCAAAGGGAATATAATAGCCTAACGATCACCAATCAGTGAAAGAATGATGTAACTCATCTTCAAGTTCTGTGCTGCATTTGGTTTTTATTAGGTTTTATTTGACCACTGGTTGGCTTTGACTGCTGGTTTTATTTGACCGCTGGCTTGGAATGTGTGATTCTAAATATATTTGCAGCAGATCATAAGCGGGCATTTTGCAAAGACTCTTTACACAAAATAACGATGAATTTAAGGTAACATTCTTAAAAAGCTTTGGGGGGAAAATCATCTGCAGATCAAATTTCAGACGCAAACTGGAAGAAAAAAGAAATGTGATGGCACTAACATCAATGTATTCCCTGACAATAAGGTGTTTTCCCAGAAGATGGCAGCATCTGCCTAGAAACAACTTGCAATTGGCAGCAAAAATGAAGTTTCTACGTAGTTGTCTTTGTCCTAATTTTTGGAAATATGAAAAACTGATTGAAATAAAGCTGCTTGGCTTTAGCTTTTGTTTGGAGTGTAGAAATTGTTCTGAGTGAAATGATTCCCTGTGTGGCTGCAGTGCTTTCAGCCAGATAATTGTAGCAGCCAAGAACACAGAAATTGCACCAATGCACTCTTTCTGTCTCCCTATTGCATTTTGTCAGTGTTCAAGTAATATAGATATTAATAATCTACATACCGACTGACTTTTGTTTGGATCTGAGGCTGCTCTCCTGTGAGGACAATACCGTGAAGGCACCTCACATTCAAAGATCCAAGCAGAACATTGAGTTTCTGCCCGTCCCAAATCATTTGATCAGGAAAGGCAATCAAGCTTATATGTTCTGATGCTAGTTATAGTAATTGGATAGTTGAAGGGCATGAGAAGAATTAGATGGATCTGTGCATGATGATATCAACAGCTACATGTCCTGGAGAAGAGAACATTCTACCAACCAATATGGAAAAGTGTATGGATAGTCAGCAACTTATGTCCACATCTGAGCTCCAACATTTCTGTTGTTAAGTGAATTTTGTTAAGTGAATTTTGCCCCATTTTATGACCTCTCCTACCACAGCTGTTAAGTGAATCACTGCAGTGGTTAAGTTGGTGACACTGTTGTGAAGTGAATCTGGCTTCCCCATTGACTTTGCTTGTCAGAAGGCCCCACGGCAACCATCACAAATATGACTCAGTTACTCTAGACTCTGAATTTTGACCTTGTGACCATGGGGATGCCGCAACGGTCGTAAATGTGAAAAATAGTCCCTTTTTTCAGTGCCGTTGTAACTGAATGGTCACTAAACGAGACCGTAAGTTGGGAAGTGCCTGTATTTCTGGTTTTGCAGTGCCTCCTGGCCAGAGAAGAGGAAGATACCTGCTTCTAGGCATCATTGAACGTGTGCCTACTTGTTCTAGCTCAGGCCATCTCTGCTGGAGTATTAATGCTCCACTCACTGTGTAGATTTCCCAATGTCTTTTTGTTCTTGGATTTAGCAGGTTTTCACTGCTGGAGCCTCACATAAAGATTTGGTTTTATTTTGTTTAGTCAGTTTTAGTTCCCAAACTTAATCTAAAGGTTTGCATGTGAGCCATGAATTGGATAATAATATTGAGATATAATGTTTATTTGAGGGGAAGACTTAGCATTTGGCTGTCAGAACTGGGCACACATAAGAGCCAAACTATTGCACCTTTGGCAGAAATGGCTTAGAAGCCTGTTTTTGAAAATCAAATTTCATCTAAGAGGTTGTAGAAAACATTTTCCCTTCTATCTGGCTATAAGACAGTTTTTATATTTACATTTGGGGGGTAATTTTTATGGTGTAACAAAATACATACATGCAACTACTTGGAAGGAATCATATTATCTACAAGCTCATTTTCCATCTAAATTTAACCATGAGGTAATAGAAACAGTTTCATTACAGTGTGACACTTATGGACACTGCATAAGTCCTGATTTAGGGCCTCTTTTAAAGGTCTTGAATTCCACATGCAATCGTTGGCAAGGATGTACTTTCTGTGACTTGGTTTCTGCAGAGAGAACAAAATATATTCTTCCACTGCAACAGGGAATATATTGTGAAATCAGCTTGTGGCTGGCTTAAGAACAATTCAGTATCATGAATTTTCTTTACAAAAACATGTCAGTATTGCAGACTGGGCAGTTTATAGCTCTTGAGTCAAATCCAGCCTTTTGGCTATCCCTGCCCAGCCTCATGAGATCAACTGGAAATTAAAAATCAGATGTAAATAAGACAGAATATATATTCTTATCAGTTGCATCTAATCAAAACCATATAATGTACTGATTTCTAAAGTGATAAAATTAATATTGAGAAGAATTAAGTTCAAACTGTTGGTTTGGTCCTCCACAGCAGTCCTAGTTTCTCAGGTGGCCCTTGGGAAAATTAATTGCCCACCCCTACAGCAATAAGACCATCCAATGGTAGCAATCTGCCATGCACCACATTGCCATAAAACAATAGTTGAAACTCACAGGATGTCTGGGCCAGTTATACATTCCACCCAACTTACCTGACGGCTTATAATTGGGGAAATTGAAAGGATAGCACAGTGTACGCTTCTTTGAGCTGAAGTAACACTAAGATGTAGATTTTAACAAATCAACAATGATTGAATATCTATGGAAAATTACTACCTTGCTGCCTTAGACTGCTTAATGTAACTGTTCAAAGTTCTGCTTTCTCCAGCTCCCCAATCCTAAGGCCAAAAGACCTCCTATGAAACTGAGAAAAGCAGACAGTACCAATTGGTGATCTTACCTGAGGTCAGTTACCTGCTTTGAGAACTTTGTTGAATGAGTTTGAATTCTGGGGAGAATAGAAGGAGATCTTAAGGACTCAGTTATATTGGCTCAGTCTGGAGTGTTGCAGGAATAGCCAACACTCCAGAAGATAGGCTTAAGATATAGAAGGATCTTGACGGACTTGAACATTGGGCCTATCTAACAATATGAAATTCAATGGTGAAAAAAATAAAGTTATATATTTTAGGCAAGAAAAAGCAAATATACAGATAAAGTTATAGATGACTCAAACGTAGTAACTGTGAGAGGGATCTTGGACAATCACTTAAATATGAGCCATCAGTGTGCTGCAGCTACCAAACAAGCCAATGCAGTCCTAGGTTGCATTAACACAAGGATAGAATCAAGATCATGTGAAGTGTTAGTACTATTTTATAATGCCTTGGTAAGGGCCTCACTTGGAATACTGCATCCAGTTTTGGTCACCATGATGTAAAAAGATAATGAGATTCCAGAAAGAGTGCAGAGAAGAGCAACAAATATGATTAGGGGACTGGAGGATAAAACATATGAAGAACGATTGCAAGAAATGGGTATGTCTAGTTTAATGAAAAGAAGAACTAGGAGAGCAGTGACATGATAACAGTTTTCCAATATCTAAGGAGCTGCTACAAAGAGGGGGGGGGGGGTCAACCTATTCTCCAAAGCACCAGAAGGCAAGACAAGAAGCAATGGATGGAAACTAATCAAGGAGAGAAACAACCTGGAACTAAGGAGAAATTTGCCGATAGATAGAACAATTAAATCAGTGAAACCATTTGCCTCCAGAAGTTGGGAATGCTCTAACAGTGGAAGATTTTAAGAAGAGATTGGACAACCATTTGTCTGAAAAGGTATAGGGTTTCCTGCCTGGGCAGGGGGTTGGACTAGATGACCTCCCCAACTCTGTTGTTCTGTTAATCTTCAAAAGGATGTTAATGATTCCATTGGGTCATATCCAATACAAAGAAAAGGGTTTTTTTTTCAGAAAGAGAAAACACCATGGATAACCTATAGCTAGTGGCTTACCACTGGAGGAGTGGCACTGGATCATTTAAAACTATCTAGGCATTGTGGAAGAGCAGTTTGGCACGGCCTTCCTCCCATTCCATCTAAGCCTTTTCCCCAGCCAATGAAATTGCAACCTTGAAACAGGTGTGGGAGGAGAATGGCAGAGATGTGCTCTTTGGGAGTTCTGCAGCCAATAGCAAACATATAAAAAGGAGGTGTTTTCCCTTGAAAGGGAGCAGAGAGGCCCAGAGGAAAAAGAAGAGACCCGGCAAAACAAAGCACAACGTGGGAAGGTGCAAATGCATTTACGTGCTGGCTATTAATA